GAAGGCTCAGCTTACTTATTTGAAAAGAATTTTACATCTCCCATGGTACACACCAAACAGTTTTGTTAGATTGGAAAGTGGGCATATTCAACTGAATCACAAAGTATTCGCAAGAACCCACTATTAGTGGTAAAACTTGCTGTTCCGACCAACCATAGATCTTTCTAAAGCCTGCTATTTAGCTTTGATGAAAACTACAGTAAGTTTTATAATTCTATTTGACAGGGCATTGGCATTACGGAAACATTTCTACAACTTGGGATGGGAGGATATTTGGAAGGAGCAGAGAGAGTAATGAACAAGGCTCCAAAGAAATATATCATAGAAAAATTTTATAATCATATGTCCTTTAAAGATGTTGATTCAGCAATCAAAAGCTCGTTTAGTTTTTACAGAGAACTTCACTCTTATAGAGTGGAAGGATAGCCTCTTGGTATTGAAAACTGGTACTAGGAAGATCCCTCTAATATCAGAACTTCATCTCGCCGGTCATAAATGCGCAAAGACCTATTATACTCAAGGTCAAGTTTTCTCTTTTCAAGCAGAGGGAATGAATGAATGAAAAATAATTGTATTATGGGACTGAAGTTATCTTAGAATAATAGCAGAGTTCAGGAAATACATATATCAGTCTGGCATGTAGATATAAAACAAATATATACAAAAAATACTAAGAAAAATACAAACATATATAAAAAATACTAATCAAAGCACAAACATATACAAAAAATACTAAGAGAACAAAAAATAATAAAATGGCTCTTATCAAGTAACTGTTGGTGAGCTATTGTAATTACATAACCTAAAAAATTCATACAAGCTTGCGGAAGTTTAAATGTGTAGTGGGTGGTGGAATGGGAGTGGAGATAGGTACAGAGTTCCAAAAGGATTTACTGAAGGAAGTGATATTATGGCAGGGGATATATAGATCAATAGGTAGAGATCTGATATTAGGAGTGTGTATAGAGGAACGTAGAATAAGAAGTCCTAGTATGTAGAGAGGACACACTACATTTATTTCTGACTGATCACCCCAACCATCCTTCTCTTCATTATTCATGAGAGTCAACCATCAACCCACAATTACACACTACAAATTTACATAGCTATTAACTGAATATGGACAAAGCAAATTTCATTTAAAATGGTTTCATGAGATGAATACTGATACATGCCACTGGGATGGGCAAACTTCCCAGTCATTTAAACATATTTTTTATGATTGCACTATCTTTGACAGTAAACGCCATAATTTAATAAGAAGCATAATTCTCCAAGGCGATAAGTTGTCACTAAGAGAAAAGGACATTTTCAAAAAATTCAACAAGAAGATGAAGAAATTTACCCTTGAAGTTGATCTCCAACTCCTCTAAGAATACTATAGTGATTAATAATTTTATTTAGATATATTGTTTTGTTTTGTTTTTTAATTATGTTTTAGTTTCTATATCTTATGCATTGTATATTTTATTTCATTTTAAGTGATTGATTAGAAAAAATTGAACTTTGTTTTATAAGTAAAATCAGATAATTTATAACTTTTATAAGAATTGTAATACTTTAATTGATAGATGTATTATGCGTAATGCATGGAGCATATAAAATTAGCAATATATCGCCTTCATACCAGATTACTGTATGAGAGATAGATGAAAAAAAAATATTGTAAACAATTTACTATGCAGATGGCAAAAATTACACATTTCTGTAAGTTGCAGACCTTAAATGCAATACAAATATCTATCTATCTTATTTAAATAAAGATTTTTATTTATTTATTATTATTTATGAAATCTACAACTGTACAAATTAATATACATTCAGCAAATGTGATACAAAGAAAAATATGACATGCCAAAGATTGTAGAGAAACTACCCACAGGTAGCACTCTAATAATATGTCTATATAAGGAGATCACGAGATCATCTTCTTTTCAGACACCTCGAAATATTATCAGAGGTCCAAGAGGAAGCAAGGTTAGAAACGAGAGGATTAGGTTGGTTATGAAGTTTATTATGGAGGGATAGATATCTGGATTTGGCTAAATCAGAAACATATGGAACATTCAGGTCATTATGGATTATTTTATTTGTTACAAAGTAAGGAGCATTAAGGATTTTGGATTGTAAAGATTGGATACAATAGGAATTTGATTGTTTATTGGAGCACCAAAGCTCAACTCCGTAAGTCCAAATAGGTATTATTATGGTCATGTATATGAGTCTTTTGTAATTAGTTGAAGTAGTCGGAAACGGCGAGCGGTTTCTTGTCGTTTCAGTCTGGTATAGGGGTTCCAAGTTAGACGTTTGTCCAGGTGGAGTCTTAGGTATTGGATTTGCTCAACAGAGATAAGTGGAGTATTATTAAAGGATACTGTAGGACAGGAAGTCATAGATTTACGACGAAGGGTAAATTTAATTTGATGGGATTTATTGGAATTTATTTTAATTTTCCAATTTTGACACCATTCTTCAAGGTTTGTGATGTGGGATTGAAGGGTTTGGGATGCAATTGTAGGGTCGTTATGAACTGATAGGATACACGTGTCATCAGCATATGTTTTAATAACGCTGTTTGGATAGGTTGGGATGTCAGCTGTATAGACTGTGTAAAGAATAGGACCTAGGATACTACCTTGAGGAACACCAGCTGACTGGGAAAAGAGGGATGTATTATATAAAGATAAATATAAACTTGCATTAGACAGAGTTTCAATAGTGTTGTTCTTTCAACTATTTCGTAAGATGTTTCATGATGTTTTTTAATGTTACAGAGTAATACTAATAGGAATGAGATTTATTCATCAGATGTTGGCGAATTTCGTTCCATATGTGCTTGCTTAGTGGCGAAGAACTTCCATAAGCTAACATTGGCATTTTTACCATTTTTTTTTTTTTTTTTTTTTTTTATCTTTTCCTTCTTCTCTGTCTGTTTTTTATTTTACTTTTACCTAAGTCTCATGTTCCAATAATCTAGTATTTATTCGAAGTCCTGTTTCAGAAATCATATTTTTGGATTTTAGATATTTTTCATTTATAGACATTTAGGTGACGCTTCCTTTGTAATGAGGTAGGAGTGAATTTCATTTGATTTATTCTCAATCAAGTCAGTAGTAATTCTTCTTTTTGGTATTATTGGCTGGAGGTATCCCAGAACTTTATATATATATATATATATATATCAATTTGTCAATTGATGATGATCCGTAGTGCTTTGGTAGCAGTTCAATTTAAATTAAAATTCAATCGCCAGAATATGGTCCCCTTATAACATTTGGTGGCACAACTTGCGGCATGAAACCTCCTTCTGGGCACTACTGATTTTTAATCACTTCAGCTTTATGATTTTTTTTTTAAATAAACAATTTACCATGTGTCTATAAAGATAGTAAAGTTTTGTTCTGTAATACAGCATGGAATTTAAAATGGTTTACACCCACTAGCGGATTGAGGATTTCATTTTGGGAGCTTCAGCCCGAAAGCATTTTTTTTTTTTTTTTTAATATAACGAAAATTACTTTGGAAGAAAATGATAGAAACTAAGTACCTATACGAAATGGTTCTTGAAGTTCTATTAAATGTAATTATATGGACAATAATACTTTTAGAGATCTTTTTTTTTATATATATATTTTTTTCAAAAGACATGGTAATATTTTATCATTTTGGGGAGGGGGCTTCAGCCAGAAAACCTTTCCCCTTCCCCCTCCCCCCCCCCTAGATCTATCTGTGTGTACATCTGTTCATGAAATGATAAAGATGTTGCAGTCTTAAATGCGGTTTGCTATGTCTTAGCTAATATTAGTATGCTTGAGATTACTTTTTGCATATTTTTATTTCAAATTTTGGTTTTGTAGATAATTGTCTTAAAAAGAAAAAGTGAAATTATATTTATTTTTTTGTGGCCCAAGTGTTTAGGTCTTAGTAAAGGCTAATCAAAGGCCCGATATCAAATAAATACTGAAAAAATAACTAGACTAGTATTTGGAATGGAAAATATTTGTTTTTTAAATTTAGGAAGTTATGAAATAACGGTAACAACTTAATGAAATAAACAAAACAATTGAAAATGAAATAACAAATATATGAAATAAAATATTTTTGTTGGCGTTACAGATCTTTGAAGATCTTTTGCCACCTCAACAAGCCTGCTCCATCTCTGCCTGTCTTGGTCAATTTCTTTCCAATTATATACTAGCACCTCTATTGAATCTTTGTTGATTCTATCTATCTATCTTCATTTTGGCTTCCATGTGGTCTTTTGCCATTTATTGAGGCATTCATTGTTAGGAGAGGCTTCCATGTAGATTGCCAAGAGCTTCATGCCCCGCCCCTCTTAATCTCCGTGCCTTCATATCACGAAATTTTGATAGACCAGTTTCTGTAAGCAGTTCTTTACTGGTCTTTCTTCTCCATGTGCTAGTACTCTGATCCCAGATCGCTCCGGTTATCTTGCGGAGCATTTTTCTCTCAAATTTTTTAATAGTTTTTTTAGGGTGATGATTTGTGTCCAGGTCTTACAGCCATATATTAGAACTGCCTTTATCATAGAATTTTATAACCTTGATTTGAGATTTTGAGAGGGAGAAGAAAGCTCTGTTTGCGCTAGTTATACGCTAATCTATTCTACTCTCGGGAAAGATTTCCCTTCTATGCAGATCCAAATTTTTTATAATCCCAAAATGAAATATTGAGAGATATCAATAAATGGTAAGAGTAATTAGCAAAATAAAATAAACAGAATACGGTAGTTGTTATAAAATGGAGTCCTAATATATTCAGAAGAAATGAAATAAACATAGAATAATAATGAAAACCAAAGAAAGGAAACAGTGGAAAAAAAAAACAACAACAATAAAATGCTGTTTTGTTAGGTGTTTATTATAGAGGTAATTTATTGGGTGATAAAGTTTGCAGAATGCTGTGTTAACATCTCAGAATGGATGTTAAGATGGTTATAAATCATAAGGGTTTGAACACTATCAATAAACCAATTAGAAATGATCTTGCTACCAGCACCATTAATCTCAATAGATCATCTCAACGCATGGCGTGCGACACTTTCATTGGAAGAGGAGGGAAGGACAGTCCGGAAAGCGAGAGGGTCCCCGAAGAAGTGTGCCAGGGAAAGGAATCACGATCTGGAGTCTTCTGGAGCAGAGATATCTGTCGCTGGAACTGGATCGTGGAAGCTAGGTCCTGGGACATCTACGCTGTCGAGGATGTATCATCGACGAAACATCTGTTTGTCTTTGTCCTTACGAACAGTATTGCGCGATCTGTCGATGGCGTTGGTGGAAGTATTGCGCATTGGCAGCGCGAAGAAAATGGGTGTCCCAATATTCAACGCCTAATCACGCGAGCATGTGTGATCGGCCCGATCTACAGACGTTCGAGTGACCACCGCAGTACACAGTTCTTTAAAAATATTTAGGCTATTCACTATACGGCGGAGGTTTTTTTTTTTTTTTTTTTAGCTATTTTTCTAAATATTTACAGCTGTATTACAATATAAATACATCAAGTAAATGTGTACATAGGATTAAAATCACATGAAAACGCATGAATTGAGAAACTACCCACTGGTAGCAGTCTAATAATATGTCTATATAAGGAGATCACGAAGTCATCTTCTTTTCAGACGCCTCGAAATATTATCAGGGATCGAAGAGGAAGCAAGGTTAGAAACGAGAGGATTCGGATGGTTATGAAGTTTATTATGGAAGGATAGGTATCAGGATTGGGCCAGATCGGAAACATATGGAACATTAAGGTCTTTATGGATTATTTTATTTGTGACAAAGTAGGGAGCGTTGAGGATTTTACTAAGGATTGGATACGAGAGGAATTTGATGGTTTAGTGGAGTCCCATAGCTCAATTCCGTGAGTCCAAATAGGTCTTATTATAGTCATGTATATTAGTCCTTTGTAATTAATAGAAAGTTTAAAGCGTTTGTCTAGTGAGTGTTGGAATAAGCGCAAACTTTGAGCAGTTTCTCGTCGCTTCAGTCCTGTATGAGGATTCCAAGTGAGAAGTTTGTCCAGGTGGAGTCCTAGGTATCGGATTTTTTCAACAGGGATAAGTGAGGTGTTATTAAAGGATACTATAGAACAGGAAGTCATTGGAAAATATGACGCAGGGCAAAGATGATTTTATAGGATTTCTTGGAGTTTATTTTAATCCTCTAATTTCGACATCATTCTTTAGCGTTTGTGGTATGTGAATTAAGAATTTGGGAAGCAATAAATGGATTAACTGATAAAACACATGTGCCTTCTTCTTATGAATAATTTAATTTATACTTATTTTTTAATGTAAACATTAAAATCTAATATCGTTGTAAATTAGATCAATAGATAAGAGTGAAAAATAAAAAAAAAGATTAAATTACAAAATGTAACGACCCACGAAATATATAATTACTAAAATTAACCTAATATTTTCCTCAATTAGTGAACAAAACTCATCAACGGTAACTGCACGGCCAGAAAGTTGGACCAGGGCGGTCAATGCCTTCTGGATTTTATAAAAGTACGTTCACACCAAACTCACACATTAATAGTCCGGAAATCCATGCAGAAAAACTTGACTAATTCTACACAAAATTTCATATTTGACAAAAGAAGTAACAAATGAACGTTTGTCAAGTGTTTGGCGCGCTCTGTGGCCTATCCTCTAACCTCAAACCTAGATATTAAACATGCTGTTTTAAAATTAAGTAATAATCAGATGCTTTAATCTATCATTAATATTTTAATGATAAAATGATTTGTATAGACCAACAGCACTAGCGGATCCAGAATTAAATTTTTTTTTTTTGGGGGGGGGGAGAGGGCTTCAGCCCGAAAGATCTTTTTTTCGTATATATATATATATATATATATATATATATATATATATATAACGATAATTAATTTGAAAAAAAGAAAGAAATTAACTACTTATATGAAATGGTGTTTAAGTGGTTCTTTAAGTCCTATTACATGTAATTTCACGAACAAGAATACTTTAAGAGATAGTTTATTATTATTTTTTTCCGTAAAAGATGGTTATATTTTACCATTTTGGGGGGAGGGGCTTCACCCCGAAAGCCCTCCCCCCCTCCCGTAGATCCGCCTGTGATCAACAGACATGATTGTAGCTTGTAGATTTTTATATTGCTTTGCACAATTTTTAGGAAATACGAAATAGTTCATTTAATATCAAAACTACTATTTTTAAAATAATAATTAAATTCTTTATTTGTATCATGTATTTCCGAAAATATCGATTGGGATTCGGTTCCGAGAGAAACAATAGTTTACAAATAGAGGAAGAAAGAGTTTATATAATGGTACTAAAAAAAATTATCTTTTTGTTTACAATAATGGTATAATAAAATACATTTATTTTTCATTGCAACAAAAATTAATATTAACAAAAAAGTTTAAAAAGCTTTGATCATTTTTTTTAATACTTAATAAATGGCAGTAATATTACATTCCATGAAAAAAGGTCGGTTTTGGAAATTAACTTATTTTTTGGCCATTTTTAAAAACTTATTTACAGAATTTTTATATTATTATTTATTGAACACTTCCACTGTACTTTATGTATTCTTATGCATTTTATTAATTAGGTTAGGAAGAGAGAGGAGATAATATGAGGAGTAGGAAAAATGTATAAGGGGAGAGAAGGAAGAGAAAGTGGTATAGAATGATAATAAATGAATGTAAGAAATAGTAAAAAAAAAAGAAAAAGAAAAAATAAATAAATAAATAAAAATAAAATATTTTTGTATATATATATATATATATATATATATATATATACAAAAATATTTTATACCATGCTCATACATATTGTTAATCCTATATAATTGTATGTTATTTTTTAAAAAATTTGTCTGTAGTGATTAATAAGTATGCTGTGTTTTAGCAACCCAATGTAATTTGGCAGCACCCTTTTATGATAATAATGTGATTCTCTCTAGATTTGGGTATGAAAAATAATCATTGCACTATCGGAATGAATAGGTGATTTTATCTAGTAATCGATAATTATTCTATTATACTATTATTCGATAAAAAAACAATTGGGGTGCCGTTTGGAAACAAGAGACTCCTATGCACCTGTGAATTCATATCCAATTTAATATTTCAAATTTCTAAGAAAGAATATCCCGAGGCCATCTTCTTTTCAGAAGCCTGATAGGATTATCAGGAATCAAAGAAAAAATAAGCCTGGAAACAAGTGGGTTCGGATTTTACTGGAGTTCGTCATGAAACGATAGATACACCTGGCTTGATATAAATCAGTGACATATGGAACATTAAAGTCTTTAATATTGCGTGATTGTTATCTTACCTAGCTATAATCAATGTCCATGTGACAAATTGTTATATATTATTCGATAAATAAATAAAATTTTAAAAAAAGAGAAGCCTTTAAGAATGATTTTATTTGTGACCGAATACGTATTAAGGATTGTGTATTGTAAGGATTAGACATGATAGGAATCTAGTGGTTTGGTAAAACTCCAATACTCAACTCCGTTTGTCCATATAGATTTTATTAGTTTTTAGCAATTTAATTTTGGTTTATCATTTTCAATAATGAACCATTGTGATCGACCAAAAAATTCAAAAACTTAACTCCCTCTCAAAATTTGAGGTTTCACGTTTCATGATGCGTAGAATTCGAAATACGAATAAAACTTTTTTTGTGTGACCGCCGTCCGCGCATTTTCTCTGAAACTACTGGACCGATTTTTTTCAAATTCGAATATAAATTTAGAGGTCGCCCGAGGATGATCCTCCTTCATCGACATTACTATCCGCATGGTTTTTTTTATGGTTTTTAAAAGTTTACGGAATTTCCTAAAAACAAAAATAAAATTGTTAAAATCGGACAATTAGGAGCAAAGATATGGTCTCCAGTTTTTTTTTTTTTATGTTCTACTTCAAATGTTATATCCTTTGTTTGGTTTTTAAATTTTGAATGTGTTACTGGAGTAATACTATTTTTGTTTAGCATATTACTAATGATGAAAAAAAAAAAATGTATTCCAATAATTGGAATCACCTTTTATTTATTTTTCTTTGTAACTAGGAAAGGTAATGTTACTTTAGATGTATAATTTTTTGGAAAAAATAAACCTTTGTGAAATAATTTGCAGCGTTTTAATTCATTTGTTTGTAATGGATAAAGTAATTATCATATGTAGGGATGTCCATAAGTGGGTTTTACGGCGCAAGTTGCTCCATCAATATTTATAAGAGGGGCACTTTTAGACGGGGTTTTCAAATTTTGCGGAGAGCACATTTCGACGGGGTTATGAATTTTCAAAATGAAAACATTAAAATTAAAAAAGAAGTGTAAGCAGAGAACAGACCGCAGGATGTATAATGGTATATAATCTACGAACATTTAAATTCTACTTTCGTTGGCACTGTTTTTAAAAAGAGGAAACAAATAAAATATCTCGGGAAGAATGGGGGAAATTTATGCTCCATCTTCCTTGGGGGGGGGGGCGAGAGAGGGGAAGGTATATGGGCTCCCCTGACCAAATGTCATTAATTAAACATAAATAAAGTTCACAATAGAAATATACAAGTAGCATCAAAGTGTACACTGATTGGTGAAAATTTTTGATCAATAGTTTAACAAATGCATGCAAACGAAATATGCGAATTTATGAAAATCCGGCCTCTGCTGACAGATAACATACAAAGCCTAGCGCCGGACTGGTTGTTAGAAGGAAGATACATCGATAGCAACAGTTAAGATCGACTAAGATATCGATAATGGTAGCTCATTAACAGGAGCCAATTAGTGCACCCATTAGAATCGAATCGAACCAGAGCAGAACAGAAGAAGAGCAAGCTCTGTTAATATCTCGCGTGTGGTCGTTAACATTCGGCACCACTTTCCCGATCGTCCCTGCTTTCTGGTTGCGCCTTTCTAAAGAATTAGTGTCACGTGGTCTAGGCCAAGCAGCCAATTTATCATGCAAATTTCAAATATTTATAATTTAATATACTACACATCACTTTCACTCTTAGACATGAAACATGTACTCGTATTTACCTTGACAATGCCTCAAAATCCCTTAAACAGATAAAATACAATATCTTGGACTGACATTCGACAGAAGAATGACATGTGGTCTCACATATCAACAAAAAAAGAAAAACTTTAAACCTCAGACTCCGACTGTTATACTTTCTCTCAAGACGCTCAAAATTAAACTTCAAATAAAAACGTCGTAAACCAATGACTTCCTGTCCTACAGTTTCCTTTAACAATATCCCACTTACCCCTGTTGAGCAAATCCGATACCTAGGACTCCACCTGCACAAACTTCTAACTTGG